CCCACCGACGAGGAGCCTGGAATGGCAGTGGTGTTTGTTGTGAACGAAGACGTGAACCGTCGCCGATGTCGCCATGTGTTTTGCGTACCAGCGGTCTAACGACGAGATGACGTGTGTTCTCTTTTATATTAGAGTTGAATTAAATCACTCGAGAAATTACGATACAATCTATCGCTGTAGCGTATCGACTCAAACGCTAACTGCGCAAGCACATGAGGCGCGGACCGGACCAGCGTTCCGCATGCCAGGCAAGCGCATTCGAACACCGAGCCGCCACCAGCCGAGCAACCTTTGTCATGCTTACCTTTTATAGTAAAACCCTATGGCGCTGTTAAGTACCGAGCGAGACAGGACACCTTGGTGGGCTTAGCGCGATGCGCCCCGCTTTACTAACTCAGATATGTACAACATGGTCCTGTTCGAGAAGGCTCGGCGTAGAAGAGGCCGTGGCTCGCGTTGGCACGCGCAGGTGCGTTGACCCATGCTCGCGCTCCGCGCTCTCTCAAGATACAATTCAGTACACACCTTCTCCCTAAAATTAATCCCGCAAGTACCGAGGACGACGCTGTTCACGCTGTGGGCGTCCTAACGAAGAAACACCTGGAGTTGGATTTGGAGACTGCGGATGCGATGTTGACAGGTTATCCTGGACGGACTCTTTCGTACTCGACGTGACGTCCGGCCCGACGTCATGGCCAGTAGTTCCGAGGTCTGGCACGTCGCAGCTGCCCCTCAGAGTAGGGTTTGGCATATCGCATATTCTACTTCGGATGTGATTGATGTGTCGCCGCCACACACGTCAGTCTTCAAGCTGTACCTGGTAAGAGACAGGTCCCAACTTGCATAAAATCTCCCCTGGCAACCAGCGGTTCCCGCTTGCGCTGAAATACATTGCAAACACGATGCTTCCTTGCGCGAACTGTCGAACAGCCTTCCGACCGTCGATCTCGAAAGATGCCTCCTGGCGCTGGGCCATGACTGACTGTTCATCAGGATGTAGCTGATCCAAGGCTGATCGGAGTTGTCGACCGAACAGAAGCTCCGCAGGGCTCTTTCCTGTTGAGGTGCTTGGAAGAATGTGTAGCTCGAACAAGAACCTGGCCAGACGAACGGACCAGTCCCCTCGAATTATTTTCTTCAGCGACTTCTTCGTCTCCTGCACCATCCTTTCGGCTTGGCCATTCGAAGATGGGTGATACGGTGCCACCAGGACTTGACGGATGCCGTTTCGACGGAGGAAATCCTTAAAATCGCCTGAAGTGAAGGCAGTACTATTGTCCGAATCCACCACGTCCGGCAGTCCGTGCGTAGCGAATAAGGTTCGGAGTACAGTGATCACAGCCGAGGCGGATGTAGATTTTACTCGCAGGACTTCCAGCCATTTGGAGTGGGAATCCACTACGATAAAAAAATACTCGCCCTGGAAAGGACTCGCAAAGTTGACGTGCAGTCTCGACCACGGTCTTGTCGTAAATTCCCACGGGTGGACGGGGGGCACGGGCTTGAGCGTTTCGGGATTCCTGACACGGAACACAGCGCCACACTCGGCGTTCTATATCTTTGTCAAGGCCCGGCCACCAGACATAACCCCTTGCAAAACCCTTCATCCTCACAGCCCCCGGATGACAACTGTGCAAGAGGTCCAACACGATTTCCCGAAGAGGTGGGGATGTGATGACACAGCTGCCCCAGAGAATACAACCATTATAGACAGACAGTTCGTCACGGTGAGAGTAGTAAGGCCTGAAAACCTCTGGAGGTTTCTCTGATGGCCAGCCGTGCAGGATCCAGTGCAGTACCTGGGAAAGAACACAATATTTCTTCGTCAAAAAAGCCACTTGTTTTGCGTCGATGTGTACCTCCGGCGTTGATTCGATGAGGAGAACATCACAAAGAGGAGGTACCTCAAAATCCTGAATCTTCTGAGGAAGACGGCTGAAAAGGTCAGCGTTGCCCATCTGTTTCCCAGGTCTGTAAATGAGCTCATAATGGTACTGGGCTAACATCAGGCTCCAGCGCAACAGACGCGGTGATAGAACCTGAGGAATTGGCTTGCTGTGGTGCAGTAACCCCAGAAGAGGCTTGTGTTCTCTAAAAATCTTGATATGTCGTCCATACAAGAACTGATGAAACTTATTCACACCAGCTACGACAGCTAACGCCTCACGATCCATCTGCAAGTAGTTTCTTTCGGCTTCTGTCATTGTTCTTGATGCAAAGGCCACAGGGAATTCTTCACTGGGCAGTAACAGATGGCTCATGACGAAATCTAGGCCATATGAAGAAGCGTCGCAGGCCAATATTAAGGGACGCTCGACGTCGTAATGTGCCAACACAGTCAAAGACTGTAGAAGGTCTTTGGCACGTCGGAAAGCTACCACTTCCTCTTTTCCCCACTTCCACGATGCACCTTGGTCCAGCAACCGATGTAGCGGTTCCAAGACTTGAGCAGCCCCCCTTAAGAAGCGGCCGTAGAAGTTCAGAAGTCCTAGGAAGGATTGCAACTGTTGTTTATCTTGCGGTTCTAGAGCGGTCTGAATAGCCTGAACCTTGTCCTCAGTGGGGTGGATGTCTTCCTTGTCAATTTTGTATCCCAGGAAAGACACTTGAGGCACTCTGAAACTGCACTTGACCTTGTTCAGGCGGAGCCTGTCGTCACTGATTCTTTTCAGCACGGCCCAGAGACGAGACTCATGATCTTCATCGTTCTGACCGCCGATCACTATATCGTCGAGAAACACTAAGACACCTTCGAGTCCAGCGAGAAGCTCTTCCATATAGCGTTGGAAGATTGCCACAGCCGTAGCAACGCCGAACTACAGACGGGTGATTCTGAAGAGACCCTAATGAGTATTGACTGTTTGGAGGTCCGCTGTAGCTTGATCCACTACCTTCTGGTGGTAGGCCTGTTCTAGATCCAACTGTGAAAACTTCTCACACCCAGCCAGTTTGGCAAACAGTTGATCGGCAGTTGGTAAAGGGTATGTTTCCCATCCAATGACTCGGTTCACTGCGCACTTGTAATCACCGCACAAGTGAATGTTCCCGTTCTTTTCGAGAATAGGCACGACTGGGGTCGCCCATGAGGAATACCGTACTGTTTAAAAAATTCCTTGTTCGACCAGTTTGTCGATGGCATCGTCCACCTTGGGCAGCAGCGGAAGTGGAATCTGATGAGCCTTGAAAAATTTGGGAGTCGTGGCAGGGTCGACATCCACATGAACAGGGGGTCCCCTGCTTCTTCAAAGTCCTGGCTGAAAAAGCTTGGGAAACTCGTCAATCACGTTGCGAATTGCAGCCGCTTCCACCTGAGGGGGCAATGTGTCGACATGAAGGACTTCCTCCAAGGAGATGCCCAAGGACTGGAACCAGTTGCACCCTAGCAGGCTCACACCAAACCCTTTGACAACCACAAGTTCCAATTTCATTTTCTTCTCCTTGAAGGACACGTCAGCTGTTACCCTCATGAAAACTTTGAGACGTCGGAAGGCGCACGGTCTGAGGCGATAGCGCTTAAGCCTACGATGTGTTCGTCTCGCTCGGTATTTAACAATTGGCCTGAGAATAATATTGGAACGCAGCTTCAATTCGCCGTGGCTAACGTGACTGTCGTTTGGCACCTTTTTGATTGCACATAAGCGGCTGTTCTATTCGATAGGGGCTGAACAGGCCTAAAATATACGTAAAATAAACCATGTCTGCCTCCTGCAGCAGCGACACATACATGATTCCTGGTTGATAAAGTTTGTTAAATGAAAATCAAACAAACAAAAAAAACTAAATGGTGTCAGGGAATATACACACGTATATTCCCTTAGCAAACATCTGCTTGCCTGTCCTCTGGACAATGGAGTCCTGGGTTTAAGCCCACCCTGGTTCCTGTTGCTGTACTTCGCAGTTCGGTCACTTATTCAGTGGTGTGACATTATCTATTGGGAATATTGTATCCAACAGTTTGTGCATTTATTATTTTTGTGCCTTCTCAAGCAACACAGCTCTCTCTCGATAGCCATGGCAATTACTATGATACAGCGAGTTATATTTGCCATATACAAAAAAAGCCCATTATTATTTTTGTGCCTTGTACACTTGCAAACGTGATAGTGCACAAGGGAAACACTGTTGTGACGTGCTTCCGAGATGCAGAAAGGGGAGCTTAAAAAAGCCAGAGTTCATAACGCTTGCCACCTCACAGAAAATCTTACTACCCATGATATGGCCATGACACGATTTAAAAGACATGCATGGTTGCTAAAGCTCAGATTGTTCTTTGGGTCGTTAACAACATCCATTGGCTAGTAAAAATATTTGTGGCATAACTACAATGTATTTTAACAAATTCCAGTGCTCTTTTGTTTAAGCTCCTGGCTATCCAATGAGTTGCTGGAAAATAGCCTAGATAGAATATTAGATTGTTCTAATTTTATGTGGAGTCTGTAGACTGTTGTGCCAATCGGATGCCTTTCGTTAGCAGACGGACGCCGTAGGTAGCGAATTCACACTCCTCTTTTTGTATTTTTTACTCGGGTAAGTTTATTCCTTAAAATGTTGATACACAAAATGCACTATCTTTCACCACCACTGCAGAAAATCTTACCTCGCAACATAAAGATATTAATTCACGTGGTTCCTTCAAAAAGCCGACAATCTATTTGATTTACCCTGTAGAATGTTGTTTCTCACAGCAGGATGTCCTCAAACTTGCAAAACTGCAAAGTGAGGAACAATCTCATAGAAAGTTCCTGCATTGTACAGGTCAAGAGGCCTAAAGTCAAAATGGTTGTCCGGCGTCACTGCTACAACATCGACACATTTCTCAACAATGTAGGAGCACCTGTGACTGCAGAAACGCACCGTTTCCAGGCGTCTGCAAAGAAGAATCAATACACCACTCATCACCAGCAGCCTCTCCACTTGCAAAAACTTTGGGGTGTCATTCTGCACTTCGGAGACGAACACATCTCTCAGACGGTATGTGCAGCTGTTGGTGCTAGCAGTCTTCACAGAGCAAGGGTGATTTCTGATGTGATGGCGGAGACAGCAACTTGCTCTTGTTCTGAGAGGCTCGTCACCTTGACCACAGCAGACCCTGTTGTTTCAATGGAGACTTCAAAAAGCTTTCCAGTCAGCTCGTAAGCTTGCAACAGCTGATGCCGTGTGCCCAGTGTTCGGCAGATGTTACGGAAGTTCCGAACATTTGAGGCAACGGCCTTGAAGTAGGCATGCTTCGCCTCGAAGCGCATTCCCCAGTAGCGACGGGGCGGGCCAAACCTCTGTATGAAGCCCGGGTAATGCAGCAGATAGTGCAGCTTTGCGGTGACTGTTACGGATGGGTAAAGGGACGTGAAGGTCTCCAGGAATTCTTGGATTTTCACCTCCAGGTAAGCAATGCAGTCTCGTGGAATATTCTCTGCCAGGATGATATCAATGCAATGTCTGTAGGCCAGGTAAACTTCCCAGTGTGGGTTGTTGACGGGCACAGAATCTCCGAAGATCTGTGGAAGGAGCCTGAATAAACACCACTTCTGAGCTGCCGTACCTCTCAGGTTGGCTTTTCCTTGCAGAAACTTGTCCTTTAGTGCAACAGGGGTGGCCTTCCTGTCATGGAAGCCATAGTTGAAGCTTGCTACCTTGTTGATGTCAAATTTCTGAAGCAGGCCATCTTGAATCAGACCACGCAGGACATGCTGCATGACAAGCCCCATTCCCCCCTCCAAAATGTCATGCATGGCATCTGGAGGGAGTTGTGTTGTGATGTCAAACTCTGTTAGGCTTTGAAGTGCTGGAATGGCAGATATGCCGTACAGCGGTTCGTTTTGTGTTGGATTGAGAGCAAATGCTTTCAGGTGGCTCTCGTGTCCTGCGTAAGTTCTCATGATGCAGCTGGCCTCAGAGAGCAACTTATGCAGATGCCCGTACCGAGCAAGGCAAAAACGACATATGCGACCACTGCTGAAGCTGCATTGGAGGCCTGCCATTTTGTGCATGGAGAGGTTGTCTCCGGTGAAAGCAACTGTAACCACATTAAAATGCTTCCCTTGTGCATGCACACCATACTCATGAGCATAGTTTAAGTCTTGGATGAGCGGAGCAAGAACTCGAACCAAGCCATACTTCTTAACGTCTTGGTACTTGACAAGCAACAGAAGATGCACGGCATTCAATTTCGATCGGTGCCTTGGGTGAATGGTGATGATCGAGAAGTAGACAACCAGAATCTTATGCGACCCAGCTGCTGCACCAGTGGATTGCTCAGCTCAAGCTCATCCGAGTACAGGAGGAGGAAGATTGTGGGTGTCCCACTGTCGATCTGCTGCAGGCGTTGGCTGATGAAGTCTCCATCAGTGATGTCCTGAAGCACTTCAGACTGTTCTATGGTCTGCATTACACTTTCCAGGATGTCGGGGCATGACAGCAGGTTGCTAAGCAGTTGTGAAACTGGTATGTAGCACATAGTGTGTTGCAATGCTTGATTGTCTGTATGAAGAGGCATCACCAAAGGATTTGTGTAAGGCAGGTTCTCCATCACATACTTCTTTCTGAGGTAGGTGGTCTGGATCCCCGAGAAGATGTCCTCGACAATGCCTTCAGAATTTTGAAGAGAAGCCAATTTCTCCCTCACTGACACGGTGACGTTCTCCCTCTCGAGAACCTCTCGGGTTTGGTCTGCGACACTTTCAAGAACTTCGGAAACAACGTTTCTCATCACTCGCAGGATTTCATCAGCAGTGCTATGGGCTAGCTTTAACTGCTCTGTAATCTTGAGGTGAAACAACGCCAACTGTTTTCGGAGAGCACTTCTTCTGTCTTCTCTTGGCTCCGCTGCAGAGGGTTGTTCTTGTGACGACGGACCGGGTGGGTGTGCACTCTCGCATTCGGTTTCTGTTGCGGTTTCATCATTGGCAGCTTCTTGAAATCTGGCTTCAGTGGAAGTTGATGCCATGGCATCCTTGTGTTTTCGATAACAATGTTGTTTATACGACCCATAACGTCGAAATGATGCGGCACAGCCGCCGATCCCACAAACGACTCTAAAGTCTGTTTCGCAGCTATGCACACTCATATGATGGACAACGCGTTTGATGGACGCTGCCAAGAAAGGACACTTTGGGCAGCGTATAAGATCTCGAGGCATATTGCACAGTCAGCCTGTTGACCATGACACAATCAAAGTTGTCATTCCACGGCGAAACCAGCTGACTTGCGCGGTGATGCTCGAGCTTGTCTTGTGGCAAAGTCGTCAAGCTTCCAACCAGCTGGGAAAACACACACTGCTTTAGCATGGAGTCACATACATGAACGGATAAGTCTTCTTCGCACAGAGGCAAAAATCCGAAGGTTTGCCGAGGAACGCCGCGGGGAATGTTTCGTTTTCAGACTACCTTATCTGCGCGAAAAGCGCTTGGCAAGAATCGGCGTGCTCAATTGTCCAGTCTCTCCTGTCCTTCGGTGATCACGTGCTTTATAGCACGAATCATTTTTAATGGTATCTAAGGCATAAGTTATTAATAAAAGTAACTTAATTTAAAAAAAAAAATATTTTTTATTATTACCGAAACGCCAAACTTGTATTTACTTATAAATACATAAAGTGCGTAACCGCGCAGAGTGACTCCCCACGACTACGCAGAGTAACTCCCCGCGACTACGCCGAAGGACTCGCGCAAATGTCCCGCGCTTCTACTCTGGTTTCGGTTTCACTTTATTCATGGCAGATACGCGGCTCAGCAGCGAGAATATATTTTGAGTAGTGTATTGAGTCGAGAAGATATGCATTATTTTTCGTAGCGCCACGTACCTTCAAGCGAGACAGATGGCTTCTGAAGTAAATATCTGAGGCCCCACCACCAACGTAATCTCTTCTCCAGAGGTTATTATCGTCATTCTTGTTCAGTTTGCTTGCATCTTTCCATTTGGATTTAAGCAAATTAACCAATCCGAAACCTGACACTGACAGCTGCAAACGTGTTGCCCATTTTTTTTTTTATTTTCACGAAGAAAAAGGTTTGTTGCGTTGAATTTGAATTCCAAAGATAAACAAAATAGCTCAATAAAGCAAGGCATATTTGGAAATTTTACTGTAGTAATGTTACGCTCGTTCTCAGTGAACCCACGACTTTCGCAGATTCGCGCCATTCGCGCCCGAGTTCTGAACCGTGCGGTTGAGCCTGCTTCGAGCCGGGAATCGGGATACACATACAGTTGAGTCACCTGCGGCTACTTATATTTTGTATTTATTTGGTTTTATTTTCGTGCCAAGTCACCTGGCTCTTCTTTTAGACAACGATAACATGTTACGTTGTGTAGGCTGCTACGAAAAGTTTTGTCGGCCTTTGAGCTTGCCGCCCGGCGCAACCGAAACTGACATTAGGGATGCTTTCCGCATCAAGTTCCCGGAGATTTGGGACCTGGAAAGTGCCCTGATTCAGGTGTGTAAATATCTATATCTATATATATATTTCTTTTTGTCTTTCGTTTGAAACTTTTGGTACACAAAGCGAAATAGATATCTGTGTTGTCCTAAACATTTTCAAGGATAATGGAAAGGCTGTTGCTATGTTTAGGCATTTCAGTGAAACGCTTCCTTCGGTTCAACATGTGGGGTTTGTTTTCATGATTATTAAGTTAAAAAACGTAAATTACCTCACTTGAAAAAAAAAACAAAAAAAAAACGCTCAGATATAAAAATAAAGGGCCTGTTTGCTGGAAAAAAAAAGAAAAAAATTAGCTTTGATGCATAAATAATATGCACATACTGAAAAAAAGAAAAAGAAACTTGTACAATTTTTGCTAGAAATCCAGTCTGAATGCAGAAGTGAAACAATAATGAAATACATTTTGATGTCAAATTGAATGTGAATATATTTATAATCGCATGAAGTATCAGTATTAAATTCCACCAGAAACAACCCGGCCAGTCTGAATGAATGCACTAAGTGAAGCAAAAATGAGGTATATCAGTGACAGATTAAATGTGTGTGAATGATAAATTGCAGGAATTGAGCACATTCATTGTGAGGAACATGCAATGAGCATTAATGAGCAGAAACAAATAGCACAAATAAGTCACTGAGCACAAAACCTCTCTCTAGACACTTCATTCAGTTTTTTTCTTGATATCTGAAGAACAATCATGTTCATTTCAAAGGGCAATTGCCTTTACTGTTCAAATGTTGGCCATATTTCTCTCCACTCAGATCATTCAGTTTACTGTATATACATAGCCTAACATACCTCATGTCTTAGCATGTTGAAACAGATAAATTGCACTTCTAGAATGAAGTGACAGATTTTTTAACCCACTGTAGAAAATAAATAAAAAATATTAATTCAAATTTGTTTTTAGACAGTAAGCATTGTTAGTTACTCAAGTTCTGCAAACCTGTTCTACAACAATTTAGATGAGATGCTTTGGCAATCTTGTATTGCAACCTATCTCCTTCACCAAATCTTCAGGAAGGCCACTCAATCTGCACATTTTTGGTACAGAAGTGCTACATACGGCACGTGCCTTCCAAAGTTTGAGATTGCAGATCTCCCTAAAGTTGGCTTCACCTTTATTAAAAACTAACTTTTTTCCAGAACTGCAGCTTTTCTGCAGTGTTTTCAATGGCGCTGAGCGGGAGAAAATTCTGCACATTGGTCCTATTATGTACTATCATGCACATTTTTGCTCAGAAGCTCCTATCCCCAAAGTTCTTCACCCATGGTGGCTTCAACTCGGTCATATAATTTAGTTTCTTTTTTCAGATTGCAGCTTTTCTGCAGTATATCTAAATGGGCTTTCTAGTTTCAGCAGGGTGGATATGACATCTTTGGCACAAAAAATACCTTAAAAAAATCACCGCTCAACATTTAGGTCACGACACACGTTTTGAGTATTGTGACATGGTTCTATTTTAGAATAATATACCAAAATAGAAGCATGTTTTCGAATCACTCCCCACTCAAAATGAGTCTCATGACATGATGTAGATAGTGTGCTAATCATTGTTTTGGGGGAAAGTTTATCTTTTAATATATGTGTCCTATCCAAGCATTTAACAAAAAAAGATTTTGGGAGTTCAGTGTCCCTTTAATTAATAAGTCCTTCTATTCATTACGCAAGCATCATCACATGTTACATGCTGTGTGGCTTACCATATATATATATATATATATATATATATATATATATATATATATATATATATATATATATATATATATATATATATGTTCAATATTGTGCATCATGTTTAAAGTGACGTGTTAACACAGTGTTTTCCTTTTTTTAATTTTTTAACTTAGAGAAGATAAAAACAGATAAAAAATTTCCTTAAGAACATCACTAATAATATGTCTGTCATCTTCAATGTTTTCCAGGTCTATGATGCCCAGCTTGATGCGTACCTTGAAAAAAAATATTGGGTTGTGTGTGTGTTTATACAGCCTAGAACTTGGTCTGCCTCACAGGGGCGACGAGTCTCCCAGCTGTAGATGAGAAATTTAGCCAGTGTGGTACAGCCGCTAGCCTGGGGTCTTTAACGTGCATCACGCAGTAGTGATACACGACCGCACGCCGGTACGATGCGCATCCAGATCGAAACGGGCAGGGGTGGGGCTCGAACCCAGGATCCCTGGGTTCTGCAGCGCGAGCTTTCGCTCCACGTGCTCCGAGCTGGTGTGCGCTAGACCACTCGGCCACCGATCCCCCTGCGTACCTTGACTGGGATAAGGACACTGTTATTTACGAAAAATCAAAAATTAAAGTAATTCGGTTAGAAAGCAACCCCAATGAAGCTTCACTATCATGCCAACCAAGCACTAGTGCGACCAGTGTGGACAAGTAAGACTTCAGTTATAGCTGTCGAGAGCTGCACATCTTATTGGGATCTTATATTTGCAGTCCCGAGATGTCACCTATGTTGTCAGCACAACAGGAACTGAAGAAGCTTGATCCGACAACATACGTGTTTCCAAAAGCACCAACAGACATAGCCATCCGGCTCAGCACACTCGGTGAAAAGTCACTGGTACCCACGAGCCTCAGGAACAGAATAATTGAGTGGCTGTGTCACGACCTCTTCCGATATACACTGTAAGTGCCCTGCCCTTGCCAGAAATTTGATAAGAGAGCAAGTCAATGAATATCAGGGGAATTAACAGACAGATGCTATTTTCATTAGTGATGAGAAAAACTCAAGACCATGGACCACATCCGGCTTCTGAAAAAATTTTCTGAGGCTCCTTACTGTCTAGCTTTTGGTTATCTGCAGCCTTGCCTTGCATGCTTGCTCTCAATTGACATGCATGCCAGTCAACATTGCAGTTTCAATTGCACTCTTTTGGTATGCCTTTAGCTTACATGTCTCAACCCAAGTAGGCTCGCTCTCTTAAATGTTGGTTTGGGATGTGCAAATAATGTAGATAAAGAAAGGTTTATAAAAACTGCTGAGCGTTTTTCCAAAGTCTTTCGAAAACCCAGAATGTTAACACATTTTTTGAAAGATCAGTATCTGTTTCTTTTGCCATTGTTGTTCTCGCAGACAAAGATTGCGAAGTCGCTGATGATGCCAATCTGAGTGATTGCCTCCCCAACCCAAAACATTGGAGGTTGTGTCCACTTATTACATTAGTCGAGCAAAGCAGTACTACTACCATTTTGATAGTTGACTATGTTTCCAGTAATAGGATGTTAATGTTTCACAAATCTGAAGATTCACCACAAAACGTATGAGACAAGCTTTTAATGAGGAGCGCAAGTTCGTCTTCTCTTGGGCAGAGGTTACAGTGAAGGCAGAACGCCAAGCTCTTATTGGCCGATTGAAAAAAAATAATGGGTAGACCTCAAGGCATCTAGCATTGAGGTCTACCCACTATCCTTCCATCAAAGCCAATCAAACTGCATCATTTTGACGTCACCGCAACCGCTGTGCAAGAAGCAGACGACTTGCTCTTTGCATGTA